AACAGCCCGTGACAGCTGACTAACACCAAGGTACCTATTTTACTGCTAGGTAACAGGGGCATAGGGTGAAAGAAACTCTGCCCATTGTTTCTCGCCGACGCCCGGGATTGAACCCGGGACCACAGGATCACAAGTCCAGTGTGCTGTCTGCTCGGCCGACCGACTCCGTGGTACAGTTGGCTTCGTTTACGACATAATTGGGAATCCCGGGTTCGAATCCAGGGCTGGACAGAAATGATTGGGCACGTTTTCGATCGACTAATGCCTCTGTTCACCTAGCAGTAAATAGGTACACGGGAGTTAGTCAACTGTTGTGGGGTTACATCCTTGGGAGGGTCGGCAGCTCCACCTTAGAGGGACCTCGATATAAGCCTAAGGTAGATATGTACACAGGCTGCCTGTCCTCCAACTAAAGTGAAAAAAGTTAATTGCTATGGATGAAATGTTCAAAATATGAGCTGGTGCACCCTTGAAAAATCCAATTAAACTTTTGAAATTAAAAATAAGGCACAGCCAGATTTGAGCGTCCTAACCATGAACATAAACCTAACCTAGGTCTGGATAAAAAAAAAGTAGGCCTAACATACGTAGCCTTAAGGCTAAGCCTAGAGTGAGCCTGATGCTATCAGACCGCCATCACGTCCTTTAGGAAACCCCTGAACTATATGTTTAACACATCTCTAACCCTGTCCATGGAGGACAGAAGAAAATGTATATATGCTGGTTAGCATTGTAAATGTGGGGCCACGTCTGTGGTAGAAAATAATAATTAAAAAAAGAACTCTCTAAGGGTTCTGATCTTAGCCCTGACTGGCCCCAAGAGTGGGGCTGAGAGGCAGAAGCTGGTGTACTGTAGTGAGAGTACCCTGTCCCATCCTCCTCAAATGTTAGTACTTTATGTAACTAAGTGAACCAATCAAAAGTACCAATATGTAGTAATAGAGCCCCAGTAAGCTACTTTTTGTACTATTTTTTTTGTATAGAGTCCGGAAAAATTCATGTTACAAAACCAACTTAAATATTGCTAGGCCTAGTATAGCACATATATGTACTATATTAGGCTTAGCGCGTATTAGGCCTATAGGATGTTAGTTCTTATAAGCAACATAAATATACAATAACTTTTCCGGTTTGTCCAAATTCAGTACTACAAAAGTTTACTTTCTAGTTTTACTTCACCTGCCCGAAACGCTGCGCGTACTAGTGGCTTTACAAGACTGTAATTACCATATTATGTATCCTCACATTCACAATGTACCTTCTTGTATATGCATAAATAAATAAATAAATAAATAAATAAATAAAGTGGTCCATCACGACCCATTTGTCCCATCGACCACATCGTTACTATAAGTACTTTCATTTCAGGTAAATTCAGGTAAATTTTTAAGAGGTGGTGCTGGAGCCCCACGAGGTACCGACTACCGCAGCGACCCTCAAGATTACTACAGCAAGAATTTCGATCACACAAATCTCGGTAATGCCCGAAATTACAGCCCGCACAGCACGCCTGCCTAGTAAATTCCCCGTAAATACCACTGGAGTCTAATTTGAGCATGTTGTTAGCAGGTCATCTAGTTTTATACGTGCCTCCAGCCTCGGATCATGGAGTTTAAATTCTAGAAATACAAGCAAGCAAGGTCACAAAATGGTCTCCCCTGCTTGCTATTCCCATTTTCTCTGGCTGCTTGCTATTCCCATTTTCTCTGGCTGCATTTGTAATGGGGGTACTTACCCATCTTATATTGTTTATAGAGCATGGGAGACTAGCGAGAGGTAAGGTCGACTGTTGTGGGGTTGACTAGGGGAGGTCATAGTCCTATGGGACCGGGTTTGATTCCCGGCCAAATCAGAAACAAATGGGCAGAGTTTCTTTCACCCTGACGCCTCTGTTCACCTAGTAGTAAATAACTTAGAATCATTACTATCGTGAGGATGAAAGCGCTCAGCCCATGTGACTATGTAGCACTTGCAAGGGATATATGGACAGGGAGCAAAGATTGCACGGAGAGGAAGTAACGAGGCCTATCTCCCTTGGACTATCGGGAATCGAACGCCGACCTGCATGAAGCGAGGCCGTCGCTGTACCTATTAGTCCAAATCGTTGGACTGGGAGACTAGTGAGAGGAAATATTGGGGGGAGGGGCGGAAATAAAATATAGAGTTGTAGATGTTCTACTCCAGCTCATCCACACACACGCCAACATTGACTCACATCGACTCTCACTCAACCCCCCCCCCCCCCCTACACACACACACACACATCCTACCCAGACAATCCCAATATATATATATATATATATATATATATATATATATATATATATATATATATATATATATATATATATATATATATATATATATATATAATATTGGGGATGTGAATTGAAACAGGACGGTTTCAATTCTTCCTACGTGATCTGACACCGTCACATTTTTCATCACGTGTTAATTTTCGTGATTTACACACACACACACACACACACACACACACACACACACACACACACACACACACTATCATGAAACACAACACGTATATATTCCACAAAGAAGTGTGTAGGGTGGCGATGTGGTGTGCTCTAGTCTTGCATAAATGTTAGGCTCATATGCGTGGCAAATTCTTTGTCGAAAATTGCAATTTACAATGGTTTTCTGTCACATTATAATGGAGCTGACTCATAAATATGAGGATGGGAGTGTGTGAGAGGGTCGTATCGTGGGTGTGTGAGGGAGGGGGGGGGATATGTTACCGGGTATGTCAGAATTACTCTGATGTAAGCCTCGTGTTGCCTAATATATCTTTGGCATACTTTGTGCTTAAGAAATTTTTGCTTGATCTATGAATGTCTTGACTAATCTTCGAATAATCTTATCTAAGTTGCCTTGACAAATCTTGAATACCTGAGGTGTCTTGACGTGATCAAGGCATTTCCAATTTATCTTGGCATAATGTGATCCTAGATATCGTAAGCTTATCCTAAGATTTCTTAGGATAAGACCCTAAGATATCCAAGCATAACGTGAGTAATTATCAAAAGAAGACACCAAACCGAAAGGCTAAATAGCACCAAGCATATTAGGTCGTACCTAATATATGCATATAAAATCATAGGGTGTCTAAGATATTCTGAGCGCTCTGGGGGTGCCCAAGAGCGGGAGAAATACACCACACACATCTGGCTCTGAGAGCGGTAGGGAAGAAGAGAATAAAACCCGGCACACCTGACTCCCATTCCCGACCAGGTGTGTGTGACCAGAGACGTGTTGCGGACGTCGGACACGGTGCCCCGGCGGGGCCTGGACCTGTAGTCTGCATGATGCAGGGCGCCCGTCCGTCTCCTGGCCTCTGGGTTAAGTACACAGTTATGACTCTCACAGAGCGGTCTCTCCACGGCCGTGTTGAGACCACATTCTCCCTCACAGTGAAATATTATTAACATTGTTTATTCACCTTAAAAAAGGTTTGACTAAAACGGTCTTAGAGAACGGCAAGACAGAAAGGTTATATTTCGGATTATTGGTAGATTCTTATACTATGTTCTTGTTAGGGAAGAGCCTAGGTTTGTCTAAGAGAGAGGTCGAATATCTGTATGGATAATTGTGAAACACTGAGGTCGTTGAGACAAGCTTGATGATTGGTGTGTGTGTGTTCAATCATCTAATTGTGCTTGTGGGAGTTGAGCTTCGGCTCTCCTGTCGCTCTCAACTGTCAGTTAACTGGTGTACAAGTTCCTGAGCTAAGTGGGCTTTATCATATCTCCACTTGATGGACTAGGAATATACTACATGGATCCGTCCACTACACTACACATCCATCCATACACTACACATCCATCCATACACTACACATCCATCCATACACTACACATCCATCCATACACTACACATCCATCCATACACTACACGGGTATGGAAGGAGTCTGCCTCTACTATATAAACTTTTTTTTGTGTTCGGTGACTAATATAATGACTATTCTCGGAAGGCTGTGTCCATAACAATGGACACTAGTATCATCCTCAGGATCAGTGTCATGATATTATCTTCAAAATAGGTATTATAACAACCCTGTTTTATATGTTTTTAAGATATTTTCAGCGTAAGCTCTTAAAATGCCTAGACATAATCGTTGCTGGTTCTTCATCTGTTCGTGCTGGTTCTTCATCTGTTCGTGCTGGTTCTTCATCTGTTCGTGCTGGTTCTTCATCTGTTCGTGCTGGTTCTTCATCTGTTCGTGCTGGTTCTTCATGTGTACGGATATATAATGTTTTTATTTTATATTTTTATTTTTTTAATTTATATGTTTTCCGCATATATAATGCGGAAAATCCAGTGAGAAATGGAATAGGAAGATGAACGTTTCGGCCGGTCAAGGCCGTTGTCAACACCAGACTAGTTGTTCTAGTGGCAAGTTGTTGTCTAGTTGACAAGGCTACCCATATCATCTATCAATCTAACATCGTTAACCTGTTCACTTCACTAACCAAACTCAACGTTCGTTAACCTGTTCACTTCACTAACCAAACTCAACGTTCGTTAACGTGTTCACTTCACTAACCAAACTCAACGTTCGTTAACCTGTTCACTTCACTAACCAAACTCAACGTTCGTTAACCTGTTCACTTCACTAACCAAACTCAACGTTCGTTAACCTGTTCACTTCACTAACCAAACTCAACGTTCGTTAACCTGTTCACTTCACTAACCAAACTCAACGTTCGTTAAGCTGTTCACTTCACTAACCAAACTCAACGTTCGTTAACCTGTTCACTTCACTAACCAATATCCACAAGCCAGTGTTCCATTACTGGTATTTATAGTGTCCCTGTTATGCAGGTCTCACTATGATGTGCCTTTTTCTTCTTTAATTAAATTATGGCTTCGTATTACTCATCAAATATTAGGGGATTGGATTCATATGTATCATAATTCATATTTTAATCCCAGCTTCCACTGGTTTATGTATCATCATCAATTCATAATAAATGATGCAGCGATGATGTTTATGTTTGCAACTGTTGAGTTGTATGGCAAGGCCATGCAACTTTCTGTAAGACAGCTGGTGGATTCGCATCCACCTGGACAGCTGGTGGATACGCCTCCACTAGGACAGCTGGTGGATACGCCTCCACTAGGACAGCTGGTGGATTCGCCTCCACTAGGACAGCTGGTGGATACGCCTCCACCTGGACAGCTGGTGGATTCGCCTCCACTAGGACAGCTGGTGGATTCGCCTCCACTAGGACAGCTGTTGGATACGCCTCCACCAGGACAGCTGGTGGATACGCCTCCACCAGGACAGCTGGTGGATACGCCTCCACTAGGACAGCTGGTGGATTCGCCTATACTAGGACAGCTGGTGGATACGCCTCCACTAGGACAGCTGGTGGATACGCCTCCACTAGGACAGCTGGTGGATTCGCCTCCACTAGGACAGCTGGTGGATACGCCTCCACTAGGACAGCTGGTGGATTCGCCTCCACTAGGACAGCTGGTGGATTCGCCTCCACTAGGACAGCTGGTGGATTCGCCTCCACTAGGACAGCTGGTGGATTCGCCTCCACTAGGACAGCTGGTGGATACGCCTCCACTAGGACAGCTGGTGGATTCGCCTCCACTAGGACAGCTGGTGGATACGCCTCCACTAGGACAGCTGGTGGATTCGCCTCCACTAGGACAGCTGGTGGATTCGCCTCCACTAGGACAGCTGGTGGATACGCCTCCACTAGGACAGCTGGTGGATACGCCTCCACCAGGACAGCTGGTGGATACGCCTCCACCAGGACAGCTGGTGGATACGCCTCCACTAGGACAGCTGGTGGATACGCCTCCACTAGGACAGCTGGCGGATACGCCTCCACTAGGACAGCTGGTGGATATGCCTCCACTAGGACAGCTGGTGGATATGCCTCCACCAGGACAGCTGGTGTATACGCCTCCACCAGGACAGCTGGTGTATACGCCTCCACCAGGACAGCTGGTGGATACGCCTCCACTAGGACAGCTGGTGGATACGCCTCCACCAGGACAGCTGGTGGATATGCCTCCACCAGGACAGCTGGTGTATACGCCTCCACCAGGACAGCTGGTGGATACGCCTCCACTAGGACAGCTGGTGGATACGCCTCCACCAGGACAGCTGGTGGATACGCCTCCACCAGGACAGCTGGTGGATACCATTACTGAATAAATACTTTGAATCGACATTAAATCAACACGTAAAGGTTAGAATGATTATTTTAACGTACAGTTGAGTGTGAGCGAATTACTGGCGCTAAAAGTAGAGTGACAAGACCTTAACTTCACTTGTTTAAGACTGATTGCTTCCACACCGAGTCACGAAGGATACAGTCAAGTTCAGTCAAGTCCAGTCCAGTCAAGTTCAGTCAAGTCCAGTACAGTCAAGTTCAGTCAGGTCCAGTCCAGTCCAGTGCAATCACTGTGGTTGGTGCCCCGACGGCCTAGTTTTTTAGCTGTAACGAGGTCAAGGTCCTATATTGACCTCCCAAGGTCCTATATTGACCTCCCAAGGTCCTATAGTGACCTCCCAAGGTCCTATAGTGACCTCCCAAGGTCCTATAGTGACCTCCCAAGGTCCTATAGTGACCTCCCAAGGTCCTATAGTGACCTCCCAAGGTCCTATAGTGACCTCCCAAGGTCCTATAGTGACCTTTCCCCAGGATGCATCCCAGACACCAGTTGACTATAACTCCTCAGGTACACATTTTAGAGCTCGCGAGCAGGTGTATCAGGTGAAAGGAAACGTGCCCGACCGTTTTTGTCCTGCCCGGAGATTGCACCAACGAGTCCCTCGGTTGCGAGCCGAGGATGCAGGCTACTGTGCTACAGGACGCTTTCGTTACGTGATGAGTGATGATCACGTGGGGACTGGCCATCGTGTTATGTCTGGTAATCTTATGACGTGATCCACCGCAATAATCGTTACGATGTGGATGACCGGACAGGATGGCCTAAAGCCGTAATTCTTCAGTTATTGATGGTCCAAGGTTGCCGCATCGGGGCTCGACCAGTTTTGTTTAGTCACCCTCGACTGAAGCGCGTAGCTCCGTTTTCTGTGGCAGATAGACTTTAATAATAATAATAATAATAATAATAATAATAATAATAATAATAATAATAATTTAGTCATAAAATATGCGTACATGAGCACCTAAAACAGAGGTATATCTGAAAGCGCATTAAATAAAGCCACTCATACACAAAACTTGTAAATAACCTTTTTATTAACTACGAATTTATATTTCTGATTATTCATTTAAAAAATGTTCTGAATTAAGTGCTGATTGTTTTAGTTAGATTACAGGCGTTTGCCCTCGTTGTGGAGAAGGGAAGGGAACTATCAGGGGGGGAAAAGCACCAAGCCATTATGACTATATAGCACTGGGAAGGGGTCAGTATAAGGATTTGGGATGGGACGGGGGAAGGGAAAGGAATGTCCTGCTACACCTTTCCTCGTTGTGGAGATTGATTGATTGATGAAGATTAAGCCACCCAAGAGGTGGCACGGGCATGAATAGCCCGTAATTCGTTGTGGAGACGTTATAGGGTCATCGTCTGCACGTCTGACGCTCTTGTAGCTCAGGTGGCTTCGTTCCTGACTCGCAATCAGGCATCCCGGGGTTCGATTCCCAGGCGGGACAGAAAAGAAGACTGTGCATGTTTTCATGCACGTAATGCACCTGTTCACCTGGTAATAAAGAGGTACCCGAGAGTTAGGCAGCCACTGTAGGGTTGCATCCTGGTGGAAGATCATCAAGTTCGACCTTTGGGAGACCGTAATACAAGCCTGTGCGTAAGTATATATGCCCAGGCTTCCTGTCACCGGACAAAACGATTACGTGGCTGTCCGGACAAAGGTCATGAGATTAGATTGCTTGTCTGGTGATGCCTCGGTTCCCATGCCAATATATTTCCTTGTCAGATTTCACTAGCGTCGGATTTGTAGACTGATTAACCTGATTAGTTTTCTCCCGACTGATTACCCTGATTAGTTATGTCCCGACTGATTACCCTGATTAGTTGTGTCCCGACTGATTACCCTGATTAGTTGTGTCCCGACTGATTACCCTGATTAGTTTTGTCCCGTTAAGTTGTGGTGGGCTATACGCCGTTTAATTGCCGTGTTAATTATTTCACCTCTGGCGTATATTTATTTATTGTGAATTTAGTTGACCAACAGTTTAGGTCGGGTTGGCAACATTGGGGTATATATATGAGCCTATTTATATGAGCGTCTGTGTGTATACTCTAAGAGCTTAGACCAGTACTATGGTATACTTGCTGGTTGGTGAGTAAGCAATTGTGGTTTCCTTAATGACCCTCCAAAGGTGATCGATAGGCCTCCTTAAACCTCCAGAGGTTAATACACCTTAATAATCCTCCAAAGGTTGATATGTCTTAATAACCTTGAATAGGTTAATATGCCTTAATAACCCTCCTAATGCTGATAGATCTTAATAACCCATCAGAGGCCAAAATATTAACGTGATTGTTATTGTATAAAAATTCATCGTGATATTTAACATAAGAAAATATCTCCAATGATTGTAAACAATTGTTAATATTACAATCGTGATCATTTAAGAACATGTGAGATCTCTTAGGCGAGTTTTTCCCCCCTGGAGTAAGATTTTATTGCTGTGGCTTACTACACGAAGGGTGTAATGGCAAGGGAGACTGAGCTAGACATTAAGGGTCGTTCTGAAGTTCAGCGATGTACTCAACAGGGTTAACACTCTCTAGACTTGACTGCCGGGAGAGGGAAGGGACGTGGGTGTCAAGTCTCCCACAGTGTGGGTGCCAGGTCTCCCACAGTGTGGGTGCCAGGTCTCCCACAGTGTGGGTGCCAGGTCTCCCACAGTGTGGGTGCCAGGTCTCCCACAGTGTGGGTGCCAGGTCTCCCACAGTGTGGGTGCCAGGTCTCCCACAGTGTGGGTGCCAGGTCTCCCACAGTGTGGGGTGTCAGGTCTCCCACAGTGTGGGGTGTCAGGTCTCCCACAGTGTGGGGTGCCAGGTCTCCCACAGTGTGGGGTGTCAGGTCTCCCACAGTGTGGGGTGTCAGGTCTCTCACAGTGAGGGTGTCAGGTCTCCCACAGTGTGGGGTGTCAGGTCTCCCACAGTGTGGGTGTCAGATCTCCCACAGCAACGTCACCGCATATTGCAGCTTTTCACCTTGATCCTGTTTATTCTAATAATTCCTAATGCAAGTAAATTATTTTGTAATAAATAGTTACAAATCCAGAATAATTTTGATCTAAATTGTAAACTTAGACAATAAATAACTTCTACCTACACATATTCACATCTATGTATTAAAAATGTGAATTAATTTGATTTGTTTCAATTTTTATATTTCTTAAATATAATTTTCAAAATGTCCCACTTATAGAATATATAATTCCAGCAGGAAAACAAATGAAGGTTTTATAATGTAATTACTGTAATTAGCATGATGATCAACTCGGATAACACCGATAAACTGATGTATATATTTATTACACTTTGCCTGAGCCGCCGAGGGTAATATTGGCCGGGAGGTGGTCACTTTAATCTCCCTCACAACTGTGCTAAATCGGGGTAAATTCTGATTAATAATATATTGACCAGACCACACGCTAGAAATTGAAGAGATGACGACGTTACGGCCCGTCCTGGGGCCAGATTCACGAAAGCACTTACGCAAGCACTTACGAACCTGGGGCCAGATTCACGAAAGTACTTACGCAAGCACTTACGAACCTGTACATCTTTTCTCAATCTATGGCGGCTTTGTTTCCAATTATTAAATAGTTTACAAACATGAAAACTTCCCATTCAACTGTTGTTATTGTTATAAACAGCCTCCTGGTGCTTCGGAGCTCATTAACTGTTTAATAATTGGAAACAAAGCCGCCAAAGATTGAGAAAAGATGTACAGGTTCGTAAGTGCTTGCGTAAGTGCTTTCGTGAATCTGGGTCCTGTACATCTTTTCTCAATCTTTGGCGGCTTTGTTTCCAATTATTAAACAGTTAATGAGCTCCGAAGCACCAGGAGGCTGTTTATAACAATAACAACAGTTGAATGGGATGTTTTCATGCTTGTAAACTGTTTAATAAATGTAACCAAAGCCGTTAAACATTGAGGAAAGATGTACACGTTCGCAAGTGCTTGCGTAACTGCTTTCGTGAATCTGGCCCCAGGACCATTTAAGTCGATTGTGATGAGACGAAGAAGGGGAGGACAATAATAGGCAAGAGAGATGTGAGGAGATGGAAATCTTAGAGGAAGAGAAAATCAAGGCAAAAAGTAAGGTATAATAAAGGGTGTAATAATAGGAATAAGAAAGGGATCGTGAGAGAAGAGGAGAGAGAGAGAGAAAAAGATAAAAGGAAGTGTAGGCTTACGTCAGGTCACGTTTGTTAAGAAGGTTGGAGCATTTAAGTGTATACTGTGACTCAGGTTCATGTTGGGTATGTTGAGTATCAGAGCTGATTCAACACACCGGCGTCTGTGTAGAGGCAGGAAAGATTATTTTAGAGGAAGACCAATCAATAGGATGATTAGAATCCCTAACATGAGAGAAGAGAGCGTCACACAATATTAATTGTAATTAATATTATAATTATTATTATTGTGATGTTACATATATTTGGAAAAGTGAATAGGTGTGTGTGTGTGTGTGTGTGTGTGTGTGTGTGTGTGTGTGTGTGTGTGTGTGTGTGTGTGTGTGTGTGTGTGTGTGTGTTCATGTCTTAAAAATATAACAGGCATTTGGAACTTCAGATCCGCAAAAGATTATATATATATATATATATATATATATATATATATATATATATATATATATATATATATATATATATATAATATATATATATAATATATATATATATATTCGTCACTATTATGAAAGGTGTCAGATTAGAGGCAACTTTTCCTTCTCTAACTTCAAGAAAAGCTGACAGTTATTTCCAGCAAAACATGAATATTACCGGAAGCGTTCACAGTATTTTTTTATATTTCCGTCCACATATGTCCACACCTGTCATGTGGATATCCAGTGGTGCAGCGGGTGTGGGGTGAGGAGGGAGTTACATCGAGGGGAGAATGAGCAACACAGTGGGCAGCCAGTGGTGCATGCAAGTGGCATGTACATGGGGCAACCCATTCCAATTCATTCACCTAATTCT